TCTTCCGTTGAGAATTCTCTGTTTAGGCCTGTACCCCATTTTTTTTTTAATTGGGTTACTTGATTTGTTGCTGTTTAACTTCTTAAGTTCTGTATATATTCTGAATATTAGCCCTCTGTCAGACATAGAGTTGGTGAAGATCCTTTCCCAATCTCTAGGCTGTCATTTTGTTCTGATGACACTGTCCTTTGCTTTATAGAAGCTTTTCAGTTTCATGAGGTCCCATTTATTAATTGTTGATCTTAGAGCCTGTGCTGTTGGTGTTTTGTTCAGGAAGTTGTCTCCTGTGCCAATGAGTTAAAGATTCTTCCTCACTTTTTCTTCTAACAGGTTTAGAGTGTCTGTTTTTATATTGAGGTCTTTGATCCACTTGGACTTTAGTTTTGTGCAGGGTGGTAAGTATGGATCTGTTTGCGTTTTTCTACATGTAGATATCCAGTTAGTCCAGCACCATTTGTTGAAGATGCTATTTTTTTCCATTGTATGGTTTTGGCATCATTGTTAAAGATCAGGTGTCCATAAATGTGTGGGCTTATTTCTGGGTCTCCTATTCCATTCCACTGATCCACCATTCTGTTTCTATGCCAGTACCATGCAGTTTTTATTACTGTTGCTTTGTAGTACATACAAGCTGTTTTTTTAATGGTATAGTTATATTGCTGTAACGTTAATTCATGCCTGCCATTTTTCATATTCCAAGGTGTGAGCATCATCTGTCTGTCAAGCAGTTATGACACTTTATTTAAGATTTACTTTTGTTTATGTGTCTGTCTGAGTATATGCCGTGTATGTGGGTACCTGAGGAGGCCAGAGAGGGTGTCAGATCACCTGGAACCAGAGTTAACAGGTGCTGTGTGCTGCTTGATGTGGTGTTAGGAACTAAGCTCTAGGACTCTGATATGGACCAATAGTTGTTCTTCAGTTACGGGGTCCTGAGAGAACCAGGGGACCAGAAGATAAGGGAGTAGAAAAGTTTGAGATCAGGAGATCTTGAATAAATTATATCTTATGCCAAGCAAGCTTATTAAGAACATCTTCTCATTATATTGCAGGGGAAATGGGACAGAGTCAGCAAAAAGCTGACAGTGGGCTAAAAGTCAGCAGGAAGCCAGTTGAAAGGTGTTTTACTAGGGGAGCACAGGCTGTCTCAAGGACTTCAGAGAGGAGCACAGGGTCCTGGAACTGATAATCAGTCCCTTAGGAAGAGTCGAGATCTCATATCTGAAGCCATAGCTACCTTAAGGCCCTGGACTCTAGCCATTACTGGCTCTGCCAAATGTTTTCCTGGTTTTAGAGGAGGAATTACATCCTTCTCCATACATCAGGGCCTCAGGGAAAGCATAGGATCAGTCTAGCCCTCAGCATTCTGGATAACTGAATCATCTCTCCAACCCAAGTTGTTTCGTGTGTGTGGTGTGTGTGTGTATGTTGCTGTTGTTTTGTTTTTGTTTTTGTTTTTGTTTTTTTTGAGACAGATTCTCACTATACAGCACAGGTTTACCTCAGACTTAGCATCCTCTTACATATAGGAATTAAAGGTGTGTGTTGCCACGCCCAACTTCAAGTAGGTTTCAGCAGGCACATACCTCAGATCACATATCACAGATCACAGATCTCCTGTGCACATTCACAGAACCATCTGCTTTCTGGGATGCTCATCAGACATCCAGCCTCAGCTGTCCTGTAGTTGGACTGTCACTCCCACCCTGATTGTGGCTCCACTTCAGCTGAGGCTCATATCTGGTGCCTATGGATGCTGGATGCTGGGAAGGGTAGTGGTGGTTACCCAAGAGATTGTCTTTTGGATTGCTTTGACCCTCAAGACATTTGAGTGCACTGTCCTCACCATAGTCAGAACATCTGTTTGTACTGTGTGTGGATCCTTTTGGTACTGAGACAGTTCAAAGAATAATCTACTATATTGCTCTTGCCCCCAAGTTTATGCCTTTTCCTGGATAAAAAGCTTTTTTTTTTTTTTTTCTTAAATTGCCTACATAGGAAGTAAGATTCTTCATTGCTGAGATTAGACTTGGAATCGTAAAAACAACCCAGCTAAAATAGTATGTGAAATATTAAACACATTGTATAATAGAATTCCCAGAGTGGAGACATGGGTGCACTAGACTAAGAGCCATGGTATTCAGAAAGGCTCTGTCTCTAACACAGGTTGACCATGGTCGCCCTCCCTTTCCACAGGGATGCATTGAGTTCACTGGATGCTCAAAACCTCGTACATATGTTGTAGTTTTCCCATTACATATCCACAATAAGGTTTACCTTACGAATTAGGCACAGTAAGAGCTTAACAACCATAGCTAATAACAAAATACAGCAGTTGTAGCAGTATATAAGTTAGGTGGATATGTCTCTCTCCATCTCAGAATAATTGTGTCACACTCATCCTTTATCCTCAGATAACTGAAACCAAGAAAGGCAAAACCACACAAGAGGGACTGCTATGAACCTAAGCCACTGGTGGTCTTGTTTTTACTTAGTAGTAACACTTGGTAAAGCATTGTATGAGACTGTCATTGTTGAGTAATTATTTCTCAAAGAAGAAGCTCTCTCCTTATAAGCAAAAATAAACTAAGGTTCTTATGGAATTTTAAATGTTCTTTCTTACCCATTAAAGACTGGGTTAAAATAGTTTTCACTCAATTTATTCAGAGGCTGTTCAGAACCTAAGTTTTACTGTTAATTGGTTATTATAATGTTTTCTCAATTTTTTTTCTTTCATTTTTGTTGCAACTGTAGTGGCAAATTACTGTAGAATGTTCTGAATTTAGGATTCTCAGAAGTGAAGGAGAAAAATGTAGGAGGGATGGACTTGTTTGTGTGAAGGTGATTGTAGGCATAAGGTTATTGTGTAATTTAGATGCTGATTTCTGTACACCCCCCCCCCCCTTGGTCTGGTTGCAGTCTTTGTTCTAAGAATCTCCTGTCACAGTTCTGTATAAAGACTGCCCCCCAATTGTCCCCTGATATGCCAATAAAGCAGCTTACAGCCAATCACTGAGCAAAGGAGAGAATAAGGCTGGGCTTCCTGCCAGCTGGAGGAGAAGTTAGAGCAGGAAGAAGGGGATTCAGCTACTGGCAGATGTCCAGGAGGGACCAGGAGAGAGCTCAGCATGGGAACACAAAGTACAAGTAACTCTGGGATGCACGCTGGGAGGAAACCAGATTAGTTTAGAGGGTTAAGAGTAGAGTCATAACTGCTCAGTTATTTTGTTGTGAAGCTTATTATTAAACAAATGTAAAAGTCTCAGTTATTTGTGTGATAGCCAGGTTAAGAAAGAAACTGAGAAACATACACAGTTTTATAAAATTTATAAGATTTTTAATGTGTGTGAGAGACAGGAAATGAGAGTATTACCGAGATTGTGACTTTGAAGTCTGACTATTATTGGTAGTGTTTAAAGTTGCTGGGACAGAGATAAAAGGGTTCAGGCCAGGTCTTAAGAAAAGACTAGAAAGACGTGTCTTCTTTTACTATGTGACACTTTATTGAAGGTCAAGTGTTACTGCCTTGGGAGGAAGTTCCTTATACTGTAGCACAGGAGGACGAACGAACGGTAGCCAGTGTGCAGTTACTGCTGCCCCAGGAAAGACGGGGGGGGGGGGTCATTATAGGGTCATTTTCTTCATTATGTCAGTTCTCAGTTCTAAACCAAACCTCCACTTTTTGTTTTCTCTTTCAAACAAGGGGAGTGTCCACAAGGCCACAGTACCATCCTCAACCTTCTTGTCTGCTTGATTGATGCACTTGTCTGTTTGTTTGAGGTGTGTTTCTTGTCTGAAAACTTGATATGCGTATCAGGCTGGCCTCAAATTTAGAGAACCCCCCCACACACACACACCTTCTACCTTCTGAGTTCTGATTAATGGTGTGCTGCCTGGTTTTGTATGTTTGTTTGTTTTAAGTGGTAAGTTTTCCTTTATTTCTTATGCATCCAGTATGACAGCTCACTGTCAGCAACCAAACAGTACCAAGTATGTTTACAGTCAAGAGGCACAGCACACTGCTTGTAGCTATTTTGACTCTGACGTTTTGAGTTGCTACTGAATTAATGTACTGAATTAAGGTTTGGGGCAGGGGTTAGCTCTGGCACCTTGGTTGGTGCTGCACCTTTTTTCTTTGTTTCTGAATGACTCTTGACTTAGGATGACAAATTATACTTTGTTTTGTTTAGAGATAGTGGCCTGTTAAATCACTGTTTAATATCAAATACTTTCTTTTCTTTCCATTTATGTCCTTTAGTTGTTAAAGCTAATACATACCACAGTTGTAACAACAAAGAAAAATGCCCACGTCTCAAGACAGCAGTCATATACACAGGAATTTATTAAGAAGCAGATTGAAGAATTCAACATAGGGAAGAGGCACTTAGCCAACATGATGGGAGAAGATCCCGAAACTTTTACTGAAGAGGATATTGACGTGAGTACCGCTGACTCCCATGGGAAAGTGGTTCTGCAGGGCTGTGGACAGCACTTTTCTTATTAGCATAAACTCTTTGGCTCTGTGATGTTTACATCAGGTTATCATAATACAAGAAGATGCCTCTGTTGTGTCACTTTGGAAGCATAGCTTTTCTTTTTCTTCCTTTCTGAGACTTAATGTTATTTGAGTAATTTTTAAAATTACTTCAGCTTTGATTAGTTTATTTTGGCTTATTTCCCATTTGTTTTTATTTTCTTTCTTCCCTGTGCTCTTTTCCTTGGCTAGAGAAAAAAAAATTAATACTTGGAATGATAATTTCAAAGAGACATGCCACTCTATTTGAAGCCTCAGAGAGTATGTTAAGTTTTAGATCATATCCAGAAATGAGTGGTTTTCTTGATTTTTGATTCAAGGTCATAGAAGCCACTGTGAGAACTTGTACAGTATTTGGGAATGTTTTGTTGTGTAGTTTAGATGATCATATGTGTGGTAATAGAAGTAGAGTCAAGGAAACCCATTAATAGGTCTTGGCCAGTATATACTTGAATTTTCAAAATGAGCAGGTGTTCTATGTATGAGCACTTCGCCCGTGTGTATGCGTGTTTCTGGTGTACACTATTGGTGCCCACAGATGTTAGGAAAAGGCATCAGATCCCCTGGAACTGGAGTGACAGGTGGTTGTGAGTCATCATGTGGGTGCTAGGATCTGCACTTGGGGCCTCTCACAACAAGTACGCTTAACCACTGAGTCATCTTTCTTTTTGAGAATTTTGCATGTGAGTACTATATTAAAATTATTTCTATCCTTCCCTTTCCCCCGTCAACTCCTCAAATGTCCCCTACTCTCAAATTCAAGACTTCTTTATTGTTACACACACACACCCAGAGAGGGGGGGTATGTACATGTGTGTGCACAAATGTGTGTATACACACTTGTGTACAGACAGGTGTGTGTACACACACACACAAACACACACAGCTCCCTACTGAGTCTGTTTAGTGTTGCTTTTATGTACTTAATTTAGGGCTGACCATTTGGGATTGAATAACCTATCAGAGGCTGTTCCTGGAAGAAAAACTGACCTCTTTGTTCAGTTCCCCACTTTTTGCCTACCCCCACAGCAGCCCCTGACTACCTGTAGTCATGGGCCTTGTGAAATTCTCCCTCTTCCATTGGCATGTTGACTGGTGGTATTGTTAGCCAACCTTGTTTATCAATGATGCTATTGAGATTTCAGAGGTGCAACTTCCCTGTCCTGTCTGGAAGACACTGTTACAGCAGGTGCCCTGGCCCCGTGGCCCTTAGGGTCTTTCCACTTCTGTCTCACAGCATTCTCTAAGCACTAAGGGTAGGGCTCGTATTTTAATTGCATCAGTTGGGATTGTGTACATGGCCACTTGTTTCCTCCATTTTAACCAGTGGTTAATGGTCTGCATCTGCTGCAAAAAGAAGCCTCTTTGATGAGGGGTGAAAGCTCCTGCAGGCTGGGCTGATGCATCAGATGGGAGACCCTGACTGGCCATGGACTGTGGGGATGGCTGGCTGGGAAACACTTTTAGTTTTGCTAGATATCCCAAAAAAGATAGCAGGAGAATTTATCAACTCTAAAGCTGGATCTTATTTTTTAAAAGCAAAATCTAACTTTGTTTTACATTTTAACTAAAGAATAACAATTTTACTTACTCATTTTTTGAATTTAGCTTTCTGTGTGATATGAATATAGTCTGAGAAATTTATCATTAGATAACTGTCATTTTGCAAAAAGTGCTTGCATACAAACTAAGGTTATAATATTATCAGCCAGTATAATTTATGGGATCATATTCATATATGGTCACTGCCATTGACTGAAATGTTATTCAACATGTGACTGATACAGTTACCATGGTTCAAATGAACCATGGGAGATGGTTCAAAATCCCCACTAATACCCAGATCTCACATAAAATGGTTATGTATTTTATATATAGCCTGTATACCTTCCTAAGTGCTTTAAATTGATTTCTAGGTCACTTACCAACTTTATTTAACATAAAGTTATTTACATATTTACTATGTTGTATTTAGATAATAATTAAGGGGGAAAGAGTATGCACGTTTTGCACAGATGTGATGGTACTTGAATCTCTAAAACAGAGAATTGGCTGGATTGCTATTTTTAACCTATGATTTTTGTGTTTTGGTTTAATTTCTTTTAAAAAATATATGATTTTTGTGTTTTGGTTTAATTTCTTTTAAAAAATATTTTTATTTTATTTTTGAATGGTACAGAGTACCTTATTAAGCTCCAGACCTGCATTTTTGATTCAGTTAAAAGACATTCTTTAAATGACATTAAAAGCCTGCCTTTTAACTGACTGTATGAGGTAGGATCTCATATATTGCAGGCTGACCTCGAACTCACCCTGTAGCCAAGGATAATCTTCAACTTCTGATCCTCTACTTCTCTTTTTGAGCGTTGGGTTACATGCATGTTCCACCTTGCCTGGTTATGGGATGCAGAGGACCAAACCTAGTGCTTCATGTGTGCTAGGCAAGCATTCTAACTGAGAGAGCTATATCCAGCCCCAAAGGATGTCATTGCCCTTGTAGGGATAGATGATTCAGGATGGGGACCTTTTATAGTTATGTCCTGTGGTAACCGAGAAAGTACCTGAGAAGATGAAGTGATTGCACTTGTCTCAGATAATAGAGCCGTTGCATCATTTTCCTGACGCCTATGCATTATGCACACATGCAAAAAGGAAGATGCTTTCAGAACTTCAGATTTAGTAGTCTTTCCTTGTATAGGCCTCCTCTCACAGCCATAGGTACTTCCACACCCCCAGTTGTAGGCATCCCTTTCCTTTTTTTAAAATGTACATTGGAAAGATTTTTTTTTTTTTTTTTTTGTATTTTTATTTGTGACTGTTTTGCCTGCATTTATTTATGTGACTAGGTGTATGTCTGGTATCTGTGGAGGCCAGAAGAGGGCATTAAATTCCCCCAAATTGGCATTACAGATAGTTGTAAGCCACCAATTGGATGCTGGGAACTGAACCCAGGTCCTCTGCAAGAGCAACAAATGCTCTTAACCACTGAGCCATATATCCTACTCCCAAGTTTCTATCATTTCCTTGTTAATAGAATCATACAGCAGTCAGTATTCTGTGACTGGCTTCTTTCACTCGGCATAAGATTTGCTGAGTTTGTAACAGCAGCTTGGTTCCTGTGTGTTAGTACTTTTCTGCTGCTGGGATGGATAACTGGCTCATCAGTTGATGGGCGTTTGGACTGTTTTTGTCCTCTGTGAACACTGCTGCTGTGAGCATGCTGTGAGTGCGTGTTTATGGGTCACACTTCTTTTGGGTATCAACTTACGTCATTGGTGTCCCGGGGTCATGAAGATTTGCCCTCCTGTTTGACTTAGGGTTTATTATGTTTTTACTGCTTACATTTCAGTTGTTGAACGAGGGGTCCAGCTTCTTCTTTTACATCTGATATTTAGTTATTCCGGCATCATTTGTTGTCAGAAATTGTTTTTATCCATTGAAGTCTTTTGTCATTTTATCAAAAATTAACATGTATACATACATGTGAAGGTTTTACTTCTGAATCCTTGATTCTCTCTGTCTGTTGTTTTCTTTTGTTTTTCAGGACAAGGTTTCTCTGTGTAGTCCTCCCAGGCTGGCCTTAAACTCATAGAGCTCTGCCTGCCTCTGGGGATTAAAGCTGCTACAGCCCTGCTCATTCTCTGTATTTTTATTCTGTTGCCACTGCAAGTCTGTTTGATTGTTGTAACTCTGCCCCTCTTCCGCTAAGACAATTCTGGTTATTGTGTGCCTCTGAATCTTTGTAGTTTCTCGCTTTCTGCAAAAAGCCCCCTAGGGTTGTAGTTTGAAACTCTGATGAATGGCTAGATCAGTTTTGGAACTATTGCCACCTGAAGGTTAAATTCTGAGAACAGCATGTCTGGCTAGCTTAAACTTTTAGCATCTCTTAGTAGTGTTTTGTAGTTTCCACAGTCTAAGCTTGAAGCTTGTTAAGCTTATTTCTTTTTCTTTCTTTCTGTGTTTTTTTTTTTTGTAAATATAATTATTTTCTTTCTCTGTTCTTCAAGTATGTGTAATTGCTTTTTTTTTTTTTTAACAGAGTTACCTGTTGTGTAAATTGATCTTAAATCTGCAGTGTTGCTGAGATGCTTTAATTGATTTCCTAGGATTTCTGTTGTATCACCTTCAGGAAGTACATAGTTTTATTTCTTTTCTATCTGATGCCTTTTGATTTCTTTTTCTTATCTGCTTTTTTCTAGCAGAACAGAATGTGAGGGCAGACATACCCATCTTGTGATGGGGCTCAGAAGTGTTCATTATTCTGCACTTATGCAGGAAGCTAGCCACAAGTGCTTATCACATTCAGCAAGTTACTTTTCATACCTAGTTTGTTGAGTCTTTTTGTTGTTAACATGATGAATATTGCTTAACACTTTTTCTCTGACCATATGTTGTCTTTTCTTCTATTAATCCACCTAGTATATCATGCTAATTAGTATTCAGATATTAAAATAACTTCTGTGTTCATGAGATAATTCCACTCCATCAGTTTGTGTAATTTTATGTATTTATGGATTTGGTTTGTGAGCATTTTGTTGAGTATATTTGTGTCTGATGCTAATTCATAGCTCTTTGGATTTGGGGTCTTTTTTGAGACAGGGTTTCTATATGTAGCTCAAGATCCACATGCCTCAGCCTCCCCACTGGCAGATGATAGATATGTGCTAGCCTGTCCATGCTGATTACCTTCTGCTGTACATGGAACATAAGTAGCCTTTTGAAAGGAAGAAATCACTCCATAGTTTCATTGTTCTGTTTAAAGAATAAGCGTTTTCTGGAAGCGTGGCAGACAGTGAGGAACAGTGGAACATCATTCCACATCTGCTGTGTGAGCTAACAGGCTTCCAGATGTGCCTGGGGTCCTCAGAGCAGCAGCAAGGAGGTGCTGTGCCAGCTACTGTGGC